GCCGTCTGGCTCTGTTTAGTTTAGGTGAAGACCAATCTTCCTGTGTAGACACCTCCTTTTCCAAAAGGTTCCCATCAGACTCGGCCCACCCGTCAGCACCCAGGCAACCCAGCTGCTTTGGCCTTGGCACCCCGCCCCCCCAGTTTGTACAAAGGTTCCAGTGCCCCAGGCTCCTTCCCACCCCTCCAGTCATAGTGGAGGAGGAAGGACTGAAAGGGGAATAAAGGCAGCTTGGAGGGGGCAGGGATTGTTAGTGGGTTGTAGATTGTTGTAATAAGCCTTAAATCCATACCAAGCAAGCTAATATCTCCAGCTAGTCACTCACGTACCACAGACTACACTCCGAGGAGAAAGTCCAGGCTATATCTCTTAACACGCTCCAAACCGCCTTCACCAGACAAGAACAGTCCACCACAGAAGTACATTGCCTCATGCAACAGGCCACCCAACTACCCCAAGAAAACCTGCTTCAATACGGAAATCAAACCCGCTCCCCCGTTGTCACCTACCACTCCACACTGGAACCTATACAGGGTATTATTAAACAATTACAACCCATACTCGATGTGAACCACATCCTGAGAGAAACCTTTCCTGAACTTGTTCGTCAGGCCTTCACAGACACACCTCCTGCCTTGTCAAGCTCATCATAAGAAACAACGTCCCCATAGACCACTAAACACCAACTCAAAGCAGCAACGGACCCTGCAGAGCAACAGATGCAAAATCTGAAGACATATCTCCCCTACTACAATGATCAGCACCCCCCCATCTTTCAAGATCCATGGGTCCTCACATACCTATCACAACATGTGGTGTATCTCCTCCAGTGCGCTAATGGCCCCTAACAACAATGATGTGGTTGAAACTGGACAATCACGATGCTCTTGAATAAACTCACCCAGGAAAGTGATAAAAGACAAAAACACCATATCACCTGTGGATGAACACTTTTTACAAAGTGATCACTCTATATCTGACCTCTCAGTCCTCATTCTCAAAGGAAACCTGCACACCTTCAAAAGATGAGCCTCGGAGCTTGAATTCATCACTTTGTTAGATACTAAAAATCATGGGCTGAATAGAGACACTGGATTTCTGGCTTATTACAGCAATATGTAACCCACTTACACCCCGCCACCCTCATACTGCTGGTTTTTTCCCTTGCCCTTCCTTCCCCCGCTATGACTAGAGGGATGTTAATGGGCCTACTTCCATAGGTGCCGACTCCGGGGCTGGAGCACCCACAGAAAAAAAATAATGGGTGCTCAGCCTCCAGCAGCCACAGCTATTTGGAGCCCCTCCCCCCCCCACATCAGCTGTTTGGCGGCTGCGGGAGGCACTTTGGGGAGGACAGAAAGTAGTGAGCTGCTGGTGGGGGCTTTGCGGGAGGGGGTGAAGTGGGGGTGGTGGGAAGAGGTGGAGCAAGGGTGGTGGGACAGAGCAAGGGTGGGAAGAGGCTTAGCATGGACAGAGCCTTGGAGGAAGAGGCAGAGTGGGTGGGGCAGGGCCTTGGGGAGGAGCAGGGCTGGAGCACCTCCAGGGAAAAGTAGAAGTCAGCGCCTGTGGCCACGTCACCTTGAATGGTCCCTTGAAATATGTATTTACTACTTAGGCTAAACAATCTATTTCACCTTATAGTTAGCTGTGACAGTGAGTACGTTTCCCAGACTGAAAGAAGAGCTGTGTAAGCTCAGAATCTCTCCCTCTCTCTCTCGCTCGCTCTCTCTCTCGCCTACAGACCCTGATGCAATAAAAGCTACCTTACCCACCTAGTTTCAGTAAGCTCAGGTCTATACTATGCACTTTGGTATAACTACATCCCTCAGGGATGTAAAAATGCATGCCCCTGAGCAATGTAGTTATATCGACCATAGCCTCCTGTGTAGACAGTGCTATGTTGGTGAGAGAGCTTCTCGCCATGCACCAGGCGGGCGGCACGGCCACCAGCCCCGGAGTGGCGGACGGGTGGAAGATGCAGCCTCTAGTCCCAGAGCGCCAGGTGGGTGGGTGGTGCAAGCATTGGCTCCAGCTGTCCAGAGTCCCTGGCCGCAGGCGGGTCGTCGTCGTCCATCCATCTGTTCCCCCCCCCGCCCCCTCCCCCACTAGTCCGGCCACAGAGGAAGAGCCACAGAGCGCTGGGAAGCAGGAGGAGGCCTGAGGGAGGAGTGTGAGTGGGGCCATGCACGACTGTTTGTGGTGGCTCAGCCTCCCCTGGCCTTTAATACCCACACCCATGGCTACCACCTCTCACGGAAGTGGTGTTATTAAGCTGCTGGGCGAGCTGTCTCCTCTCGGCTTAGAGCATCTTCATTAGATGCTCCAGTGCAGCTACTCCAATGCAAGTTTGTAGTGTAGACCTGCCCCCAGCCTACTCTAGGTGCATTTTGACTGAGCAAGCAACCCTTCACACAGTTCCTGAAGCTCTAATTGAAATATGAAAGAGCTCAGAGGGCAACTTTTCAGTTTGTAAACGGTTCTGGGCCTTTGAAGAGCTTGTAAATTAGGGTGTGGTTAAGCAGGGCTGCTGCCTGCTTTGCAAGGTTTGTTGGCTCATTCTCATGCACTTAGGAAGTTAGCAGCATGTGTTTTCAGAAGCGCAAGCTCTTGGTATAGTCCTCTTAATGTGCATGGAGTAGGGTTTTCTAGTTGTGGTTATGGAATTTACTGGCACTGTTGTGACTAATTTTTTACAAGCCAGCAAAGAGTCAAAGGCTTGGTGAGGGAAAGAAACTTCCTTTTTAATGTCCTTTTTCCACCCCAACATTTTTAATTAAAAATTTATAAAATTCCTTACAAAAAAATTCACCTAAGACAACCTTATGGGTGCACATTTGAGTATTAAAGCATCAGGCAACAACACAAGATTGCATGTGTAACTATAACTCTCTCCTTTATGTGTATGCATTGTGGTAGTCATTAAATCAGTGGGCCCCAAACTTTTCACGCTCGTGCTCCACCCCAAACCCCCCCGCCACAGTGCTGCTGGGCCATGGTACACCTCTGCTCCCGGCCACAACTCATTAATTTTGCGGGGGGGGGGGGGGGGGGGGAGAATCATTGATGATTGTGAGATTGGGGACAGCAGTGCCAGGACACAGCTGAACTCCAAATTTATCATTCAGGTCAGAAATGGGGTTGTCCTCTTAAAGGGCAGAGGCTTCGTCATCTGTGGGCACCTCTCCAGCTGACCTTTCAGGAGGAAGCAGCCTTCATCTATTTTTCTATGAGCTTCTGTTTAGGTTCTTACACCATGCCCATTACCATGGTCTGTGTGTGCCTTCAGCAACGTGACTAACCTGTGTTACCTGTGGTTCCTTCCCCAGTCCACTCCCCCGGGGGAAAGTTGTGTGTGGATTTGATGATTGTTTGATGTGTTCGGAGTTTTTATTAGTGAAAACAGGGTCCAAGGAGTGCATTTTGCTCAAGGAAAGGAAAGTGGTGAGATTTGAGAAAGTCCTTAGTTCTTGCTGGCATCTCGGATCAGCCCCAGAGAGAGCTCTGCTCCCTGCACAAACAAACTTTGCAGCGGACTCTTCTATTGTGGAAGCGAAACAGAGCTGATGCTGTTGATCTTTCGGTCCCTCCACTTTGCTACCCCTCCAAAGTCTACTATGAGACACAGCTGCCGATACCCCTCCAGGTAAGTGATGCACAGGCAACATTGCCTAACACTTAGCAGAGCCCAGTATTAGGAGGAGACTTGTGCTTGCGTTGGACTTTGGGGGTTAAAACAAGAGTGGGGGGAAATTCACTGCTGTACTAAAGCCAAGCCACTTCGGGGTGGGGCATGGCTGAGAGGCGGTCTGACTGGAGCAGACTTGGGTGCCTGTGATTCCCTGCCGCTGCAAACCCAGCAAAGCTATGGCAGCAGAAGGCACAAGTTAGGGCAGCCCCAGGGCTGGCATAGAGTCTTTCTTGGCCTGGAGCAGCAGCAAAACAGGGGAGATGCAAGCAGCATATTCTCCATCTCTGCATTGACTCTACTCCTGGGGCAGCGATCAATCTAGCTAACGCCTGGCAAATGCAAAGTCTATAAAGCAAAACAAATAAGATTTTCTGTTAAGCCAGCTTCTCCACCCCCATCAAACCTAAAGCCTTTTCCAAGGAACTGCAGAGGATTTTATGCTGAGCTCCTCTACTGTTGGTCTTGAGACAAGGTTATCGTCTCCTCTCTAGCCTGTTTCTAAGTGGAAAGTAGATTTGCATGGTTCCCCTTCCACTTTTGGCAGTGGATAAAGTAGATTGAAACCAGATCTCACTGCACCATTCACTCAGGGGGTGGGAAGTGCTGCTCCCACAAGCCATGGAGCTGCAGAACGGGAGCATGACATTCGGTGCAGGAAGCATTTCACTGTCAATCCTGCAGGTCCCTGTACTGACCCAAACACACTCACGCTGCCTCGCTGCATGCTTTGGTCAGGGAATGTATCCAGCTGTCCTATCCAGGAAGTTTTATAATAACTTACATTTTGGGCTTTCAGTTCGCTCAGGCCAAAGGTACAAGAAGATATTGAAAAAGAGAGAAAGAAAAACCCAACAAGAAAAATGGATTGCCCTTAAGGAGACAGAACTTTAGGAAAAGACAAGATTGGACTGCAGGATACATCTAATCTGGAAAAAGTCCCCTGGGGTGGGGCAAATATTCTGAGCTTCTTTCATTGTCTGGGCTATGACAAGGATAGGGAGGAAAGAGAGCAATTACCCACCCTCCTTATTGAGAGCCTTTTTTGCTTCCCCAGGGGTGAGGGTGGAATCCTTAAGGAGTGATTTTTTTTCCCCTGTATCCTACTCCCTCTTGAGGCTTGCTGCTTTCATCACATGCCAGCAAACAGCACAAGGGGCCTGTGACCTCTTTGCAAGCTGATACCTGCTTTCAACTATACTGCCCACCATGCTTGTCTGCTCAGAGCAGATTGCAGTTTCACTCCTGCTCCACTGAAAGGATTCCATTCTGACTCTACAGCTTAGAGTTACAATACAGTATATCTCTGAAAGCAACAAGCCAGCAGTGTCCAAAGGAAATTATTTAATAGCTCATCTTAAATAACATGACAATGTCAGCATGTGAACAATTTACCTGTTAAAGGTTGTACAATATTTCCTGTTATTTTTACAATATATCCAGTGCATATGTTTGGAAAATATAAACTAATATTCTCCTGTCAGTGTTTCACTATATATTCCAGAGTCAATATTCCTTAAAAGGCAAAAAACAAAACAGATTGACATTGAAACAGAGGTGGAAAAGCAACATGCTATACAAACGAAATGCGTTTTTAATAAGTTCCTAACCCTGTTCTTTTCTAACAGCTTTTTTCTAAAAAATTCAGCTTTACAGCTGCAATCTATAAATACATAATACAAAATGCAAATTTTATATGCCATTTCCCTCTGATATTTAGTATTATTCCAACTGAAGTTTAACTAGCAGTGCTATTCTAGAATAGAAAAATGCATATCTTTAAGAGCAATAATATTATGTATTTACATATAAAGTTATGAAGTGTTTGAGAATATAAATTAACACAGACACAAAAAATAAATTTACTGTGAAATAAATAATTCAGTGGGTTTACATACCATGGCATCTGTAGAGTACAAAAGCAGTTCATTATAATATATATATATATATATATAATATTCAGGTTATGGGGCCCAATTCTGCAATCACTTAGACATGTGTGACTAGTCCCACTGAATTCAATGGTATGCCTTGTGGGAGTGAGCACTACCAACAGTGGGTCTGCTCATATGCTTAAAGTTGACACATATTTAAGTACCTTGGTGAATTGGGCATAAATGATGGCAGGATCAGGCCCTGCAACAGTCTTCGTATGAGCAAATGGAAATGCTGTCATGTGTTTGGTCTTATTCTTGTGAGCTGAGATACTGTTGGCATTCAGGGTCGCCTTTCAACTCAGGAGATCCAGGAATTCTTTTCCCACTCCTTGGATAGACACACCAACATCCAGCAGGCTCTCCAGCCAGCGAAGTTTCACACTAGGATGATTGGGGCGGGGAAAAAATGACACGATGAAACTAAATGCATAAGTATTTGGAAATCGCAAGAACTAGAAAACAGGAAGCTGCACTGCACAGACTTTTTGTATTATCACACCCTATTCTTACAGAACCTCTCATCCTCCTCACTCATGGCTTAGGTTTTAGAAACCATATAGCAACTGGGCCTGTGACCCCAATTGAACTATGCTGGGTGCAATCTTGCAGCCTACTGGTATTTAAAGCAGTTTGCAAAATTCGGCTTGCTGACTTCCCAATGGAGAGTCATACATTTCTCCTGGGGGAGGAGGAGCGAAGGCAGAGTGTAGAAGCTGGGAGTAAGAACATTGATGCAGGGGCTTGATTCTCACTCCACTGAAGTAAGATTTCAGATGGTGCGCCTAAGACAACTGCATGTCACTGTGTGTTAGAATAGAGCAAGAGCGGGGGATTGGTTGTGGGGGTGCGAGGGAACGATGAAATCAGGAATGCAAACAGTGGAGACTGTGGGTGTGGTGTAAATTTAAGGGACCTCGAATGGACTGGTAAATTTTTTTGACAGTTTTTCAAGGTTATATTAAATCATGACAGATCATCCAGAATTTGGAGATTCATGCTAGTCTTAGCCATGAAAAGGCAGATATGGACTAAGCAGGTATGAATGGAGTTTAGCCTAAAGTCTGAATTCCTTCCACGTTAGATTAATCTGGACTCTTATTATCTGAATATAGTGTTGTGATTCTTCTAAAAAAGGGGAGGAACTTAACCCATGTACATGGTCATGCATACAAGACTTCTGTGAACCTGATATAATAGCCAAAGTTTGTAGATTGTTCTTAATATTCATTTGTAATACATCTCATAATAGCTTCTTCAGATTAACTATTCTGTTTATAGGTTTCAGAGTGGTAGCCATGTTAGTCTGTATCAGCAAAAAGAATGAGGAGTACTTGTGGCATCTTCGAGACTAACAAAAATTTGTTAGTCTCTAAGGTGCCACAAGTACTCCTTGTTCTTTATACTGTTTATGAATCTGAACAGTAATATCTTCCATATACAATGTATACAGCTGTATTTTGTGTTCTGTTCTTAGAAGGATAATCTCATCTCAAAATATGGAGGATAGAATCCTGACCTGATGTCCATGGGGCCTAATGTCACCCACAGTGCATAGATTTCCTTCCTTCTACGTAGCCCTTACTACACAATCACCATGCTGACTACAAAGCATATTGTGAATGTAGATCGGTTACGAATGCCATAACGGATTAGGAGCACAGAGTTGGAACTTGTTTAAGGATAGGCAGGAGGTTAAAGTACTTTGGAAGGGCTCAGTACTGCATCTGTTTTATGTATAAAAAGAGGACTTCAGCCTCCTTTTCTGCCAATCTGAGCATTAAGATCACACATAAAGAGAAAAAAGAAAAGACACCCAATTTGCTCCAAATCTGAAAACTCAATATTCTTATTTTCACGATCAATTCATATAGCCACTGAAAACTCTGAGTTTGGGGATGGGTGATTGTAATGGAAAGGTGGCTGTAACTGACCACTAGTCACAGTAGTGTGAGTGGGCAATAAAAACAAAAGTACCTGTTTGCTGTGATAAAATCCATTCTTGTTGCAGTTTGGTAAATAGAATTTGTATAGGTCTTCTCCAGTTCTCTGCTGGGCTTTAGCTAATTTATCCAGTGCCCTGTAGAGATCTTTCTGGCAAGGTCCCTGAAAGAATATTTATATATGTAATATAAATGCTGACTTAAAAAAAAAATCTATAAAAATCAGCATAAAGTCAACTAAGAGATGAAGCTGCAATTTGGGCCTGAATTCTTCCTTTGGATATATTGCCTGCAGTTTCCATTTGTGTCACTAGGAACCAAAATGGAATATTCAAGGCGATTTAGCCTTTTGTCTTTTAGTCATTAGGGTTATTTTCTGCCCCAAAACGTGAGGATTTATGTTCCTAAATTCCCATGCATTCCCCTTACTAAATAATCATGTTAATGGTTAGACACTATTGGCCATATCATCAGCTGGTATAAATCAGGATAGCCCTGTTGATTTCAAAGAAGGATCTGAGGATCTGGCTTTACATTTTTTAGGCATGTACGTTTCCTGTGTTATTTTTAACGTACACAGAATAGACTTTTTGCAAAAACGTATACCATAATGTTTGTTGCCCTCTGTATGTACTGTATTGACATCGCAGGAGTAGATTGCAAATTCAGTCAAATGAATCATTATTCCTGATACATGCACAAAACATAATAAAATGTTACATTTTCAATGATTCTTACTTAACAATTCTTTTCTGGTATTTATTTTTGCAAATAATTATAATACAGTTAAACAATTGGACATGGCTGTCAACCAATCCTTAAAATGTACTGGACAGTAATTTTATTGCAAAGGATCATGTCACATCCGTAATAACAACAAAATCCAGAAAGTGTAAAATTGAGGGTAACACTCTCTGTAATTCTCACTGTTGTTTAAAAAATAAAAAGCATAACTGTATGAACAAACAACTGAACAACAGCCTACATGTTTTATGTTGAATAATGGTGCTGTAAATAGGGGTGCTATGATCAAACTAATATTTTTACTTTAGCAAAAGAAAAATAACCTTAGTGTGTGATCCTGAAAAACTTCACACAATGGAACCCTCATGTAAGCACTTCTGGCCCCAATTCAGGAAAGCACTTAAGAAAACAAACATAAAGCTTAACTTTAAGCTCTGAAGTCAATGTGACTTAAACAGAATGCTTAAAGCTAAGCATGTGCTTAAATGCTGTCCTGAATAGCAGCAGACTAAGCATGTGCTTCTGTGCTCCTTTGAACTGGGGCCTGTACAAGTAAGGACTACTACTGTAAGGGTTGCAGGATTGGGTCCATACTACCTCTCTATCTAGTTTAGCTCCATCCACATTATACAAATACTCTGGATGACGCCTCCGAACTTCTATTCTTTGGTGCCCTCAAGTGGTGCTTTAAATTACTGATATACACACCATGCTGAATTTTAGTAGTCTGGCAGTGTCAAATGTAGAAATGAATCATTATTATCAGCCTTCCTAAATGTTTTATGTGCACCTGTTTAATACTATTTTATTGTGATCGTAAATAGGCAAATATATGTGGTTTTAGCTAGTATCTCATTATCAGTGTCTGGACTTTCTGGGCACTGGAGAGCTATGACATAATCAGGTATTTATCATGGGATAAAATTTACCTCTGTGTAGGGGCTTAAGTGATAGGCAAATTAGAAGTAAATGCAAAAGGTGTCTATCACTTAAGCACCTGACCAAGACATTCCAAAGGAAAAGGGCTGTTGGCTGGTTGCACAAAATAATGTGAAGTCAATGGAGCCACTAGTCTCATATGAACATTTCATTCTGAATTGCAAATCAAAAGTTTATTAATCAAATGCTACTTGAAAGCTTGTAGGAGAACCCACCTGCTCCTTCCATTTCTTTAGTTCGGTGATCCTCTTTGCTTTCATGTTTTCATAAGCACTGATGGCGTTCCAAGGCAGAGACTTGTCCTGGCCAATGGGAAACAGTTGATAGTTGAACTGCTGATCCTGTGCTATTTCAGTAATTTCTGGAGGTGCATCCTCAGGTTCCAGAGAGTCTATATGGGAACAACAGTACCATTAAGGTAATAATCTAGGATACAGTAATCTTCTGCATTTATTTGACCAAACCAATCAAATGAGTCTAAGAAAAGCCCATTAATTCTAGTAGCTCACCTAGGAGTTATACTTGTGTATCGCAGCAAAATAAACTCCTGTCATAAATTTGTGTCAGCACAAATATGGCAGAGAGTCTTTCATGAGCCAATTATTTTGTTACCATTTAGGATGCAAACTACTAGAAACGAATGATCTCACCCAACAGTGGTATGCAGTGCAGGTGGTGGGCTAAACTACAGGACACTCAAATCGAAATTGTAACCAATTTGGAGCCTTCAGTAGTGTGAGGAGGTGTGGTTTTCAATTTTGAAAGGGATGGCCCCAAACATGTACTCATGATATGTTTCAGTGAGTTCCAGGGCCTAGCTAAAACATCAACGAAATAATTCATACAGATAGGCAACAGAACTGGCCAACATGTAGTAGATCAAATAAACAGGGACTAGCCCAAACAATGAAGCACTCAGGCCCTGGTTCAGCAAGGTACCTGTACCTAACTTTAAGAACATGAACAGTTCCACTGAAATCAACAGAGGCTGTTAACACTAATTGAGACTACTCATATGGTTAAAGTTAGGCACATGCTTAAGTATCTTATTGGATCAGGGTCTTAAACAGTAAAAAAACAACTGAAAAAAATAGCACTAAGTACTTTTCCTGTGATAATATTTTGGGCAAACTGGGGGGCGGGGGGAGAGAGGGGGAAGAGTGTAAAATCACCAGGATTTCAATCACAAAAATTGCTGAAATTCTGCAATACTATCCAAATGCATCTCTCCTTGTAACACTTGAGCAACTGTAAGTGGTTTTGCCCTCAGTGCAAAAATTTTATATCCACTACCATCTAACCATTTGTTATGGTTCAAATCAAGTTTTTCCATGCATTTCTGACCTGGTCAGCTATGACCATTTAACACTAAACAAGCAAAAATCAATAGATTCCTCTGAATCCCTTTCCAAGGAGGTATAGCGGATTCTGACTCTTGCACAACCTATGTTTTGGTTTCTTCCTTGTCCTGCCTTCTCACCTTAATAGCGTGTCTGATGCGTCTCAGGGAGAGTGGGAAAATTTTGCTAGAAAAAATTGCCGATTCTTCCCCCACCCCCGTTTCGCATCTACATTTTTTACTTTTCTAAATTTTCCAACCAGCTCAACCAGAGCGGATCATCGTCAATGCCCCCTCCTTCAGTGGTGCTGGAACTAGGGGTGCTGCCTCACTCCCCTGGTTTGAAGTAGTAATGACAAACACCAAATCTATGGTTTCCATCAGCAGCACCCCTGCTCTCCTTCTATCACTGCTTGTTCCATGCACCCTGTTCCCACAGTTTTATCAACAGCGGATAGGCTTGAGTTCTGTATAGCACCTGCCATAAGAAGGCTGGCATAACACCTGCAGTATATGTAGGGAGACAGTATGGATATGTTATGCCAATAAAATAAAAACCAGCAGGATCTTATTAAAGGGAAAAAGGCAAAATACCACATTTATTGTGAATATAGAAAGAATCATAGTAAGCCGTTAGTTATAGCTATAACATTCAATTCAATCTCATATTTATTCACACATTCATTTGTACACACACACACACACACACACAGGTTCTGCAAGGTTGTTATCATAGTTACCAGCCTTAGAGTAGCTCATGCCAAGCCACTGGCCAGGTGGCCTGGACATGAGGAGGGAGCAGGGCCTTGTCTGATGCTCATCCGATGCTCCTAGAAGTTGGTTTGCAGAATCAGACCCCAAAGTTCTCACTTTCTAGAGTCCGTTTTTATAGGAATTTCTTCCTATGCCAGTCTATGGGAATTGCTTCATCATGCTGTTGCTGAATCAATCAGCAGATGGCACATTCCTGACGGCTCCGTGCTGCCAGATGTTATCTTGTTCTTTGGTTCTCCCATTCTTGAGGCTGTTGGGTGGATTCCAGTCTGCCCTCCGGGGGAGGGGGGTCCTCTGGTTATTTCCACTTGACGCCTTCTTCAGCCGATGGACACTGGATTCTTAGGCTGGCACTTCCCTGATCATTCAGTTATTATCCACACCAAGCATCCATCCACATACATCCTCTATCTCCATTTTAATCACAATTGTTAATACAACAAAAGGGCGGGGAGTCTCTGGGTGCTGTTTCTGTTGTTACAGAGTATTGCTTTGAGTCTCTCTCTTTGTGAGTAGTTGTCATTACAAAGAATTAACAGACTCTGTCTTAGAATGTACTAACGCAATTAGCAGCTTGCAAGTTTCACACACAGAGGGAGAGAAACAGTACCAAAAACCAAGAGACCTCTTAATTAGTAATACCCTGGAATTTAAACTCTGGAGAATCAAACTCATTTGTGATTTTAATACAGAACTTCTTTAATATGATCCAACAGATATACCTGCAGCCTCTGCCATCCGCATCCCTTCTGCATCTGCTGTTGGCAGGCATGCCCCTTGCCCATGGGTCAGGGCAAACAGGGGTCTGAGCTCCCCTGGCCGCACCTGGCAGCTGAGCCCGAGGCCACAGCGCGCTGTGTACACCCCGCAGGCCTCCCCCAGCTGGAGGGCACAGGTCTGGCAGCAGCCACAGCCCGGCTGATGGGCCCTCTCCGGGCAGCCGGCAGCCACCGGCGGGCACAGCGCCAGCTTCTCCGCCGTGCACGGGGCACAGTGCAGCGGCTGGAGGGCGGCCCCCGGGGCGAGGCGTGGGCCGAGGAGCAGCAGCCAGCAGCCGCAGATCAGAGCCCTTCTGCTGGTCATGACGCTACACCCAGTGGCGCGGGCTGCAGAGGCAGGTGACTCACGGGCGAGCCCAAGCCCGGCCCTTTATATCCTGCTTCGCTTGCCTATTAATCTTTAACCCCAGGTTAGCTATTATCTGAGCGGGAGGGTTGGAGAAGCATCCTGTCATTGGTAGTTCGGACCCCCTGCCCCTCTCGCCCCCATGCAGGTCTCTCCCCCGTTCAATAAAGATATAAATGTAAAAAGGAGGGGGAACCTCTTGACACAGAAGCAGCTGACCTAATAGCTCCAGAGCAATGAAGGAGGGGGGGAAAAACACAAAACCCCTTGTTTAATTTTCGTCATGTGGCTGTAGGTTACGAGGATACAGACATACCAAGCGAGAGGCCCCGAAGGCAATAAAACTATCAGGATCCGGTGACTACTGAACGCATGCACGTAGGAGCTCATGTCATTAACCTGTCTGGAAGGAGTGTTTAGCCAAGATTGGGCTGGTTTCCTGTGGATGTGCTCAGTTTCTGCTGCTCTTTGATGAAAGTTAAGGGGGGGCTCTCAGCCATGAGCACTTGCTGTTGTGGGAAAACAATGCTTGCCAAACAGATAGAGAAGAAATGTATCTTTCCTGCATCTCTCAGCCACTTTGCTTCCCCATCTTGTCTCAGATCTCATCTGACAACATTTGTCTTCTCTTTTGCATACAGTGGTTGTCACTAAAATAAAGGAAAAAGAAATCGACCTTTATTGCTGTACCACAGTAAAGTAAATTTATCATGGCATTTGCACTATGTCCTAGATTTGAAATAGCAAATTCTTCAGTAAAGCCAGCTGCTGCAGTGTGTGAAATGGTCTCCTTTTTGTTCTTTAAACTGAATTCCTTTCCCCCTCTGCTCCTGAAAACATGCTGAGATACATTTTGCATGAAAGAAAGTGAAATAAAGATGCATTGTACTGTGAATTGTTTTGCATTGTGTCCTTTGGTCATGTTTTGACATCCCTCATTTACAGCTGGAGGGCTACATTTTCAAAAGTGACTAGTAATCTTAGGTACTCAGCTTGACATATTTTGACGAGGCCTGGTTTTCAGAAAATGCTAAGCACCGATCCTCTGAAAATCTGGTTCCTTTAAGTGTTTTCAGTTGCATACCCCAAAATCAAAGCACTCTAAATCACTAGTCACTTGCAAAAGTTGTAAGCCAGAATATCTCCAGTGACTTTAAAAGAGTTATTCTGGATTTACATTGATGGAAATAGGAGCAGAATTTGGCCCAAAGCCCTGGTGCAGGAGTTCCATGGTAAAAACACAGCACTTGTGTCTTTTCCACGTCTGATGCTTATTTTCTCATGAGCTTATACATTCTTCTCCACCTGCAAACCTAGCACAGAAAGAGGCTAAGGAATCCCCAGGCAGTCTGCTGGGTGAGGAAAAAGACAATTTTGTGAAATTCTCTTAAATAAAACTAGTTACTGGAAATGATAAAAACCCAAAGATCATATATGTTTTTGCTTTGAAGTGGACTATTTTGCACAGAACTGAGTATAACTACGGACTGTTCAGCATCAGGAATCTCCTGCACATCAAATGACTGGGTAGCACGTATTTTACCAATCCTAATTCCTATCTCAAAGTCCTTGAAGCAAAAGGGGGGCATGGAAAGAGCTGAAGCACTTTCACTACAACAAAGTGCAACCCTTTCTAGACTACATTATTGAGTGGATGGTTTAAAGGAAGAAAATGCTAATGCCCCTCCTAGTTGAGCATTACCGACAATAGGTTTGATCTGCCAAATTCTGATTCAAATCTTAATTCTTCCCAAATTCCCTGGTTTCAGGTCCTTGGAGTTTTATTTTTGGTTTATTACGTAGATAAGAGACAGCAGCAAATACCTGAGCCAGATCACAATTTTTTTTCTATTAGTTGGGGGTATGTGGATCTGGGATTTGTTCAGATTCACCTCTAATTAACAAAACCATGAATTATACAGTATCCTGAGGAATTTTTTTCTACAGTTGCTGGTGCGCATAAAGTTACAGGCCTGCTTCTCCACGGTTTTCCATCTTCTGTGCTCACTTGCACCTCTGCACAGAGAGGGTAAAAGTCTGCTAAACCAGATGTTGCATGGGTTTAAATGACTGCCCCAGGGTCAAGGTGGTGAGGAATCAGGCTCTAGCTATCTTTTACTATGTAAGTAGTTTACTTACTTTAGAACAGAACAAAACTACCTAAGACAGCCGTAATCAATGAAGTGATACTAGGGCAGCTGTTTATGTGTGCTCTGTTTGATGTAATACTACAACTTCCCAACAAAGCCCACATCCCTGACCTTGACATAGCTTTAAAGAACACAAACAGTGCAGATAAGAGTCATAGGATAAAAAAAGTGTTTCCCGTGTAAAATCGTGTTTACTGAAAACTGTTGACAGTAAGTTTTAGGTATTCTTACTAGTGTCATCTTATCTGAGCCACTCATCATGGAACAGCATATGCATCATAGTCTCTGTGTACTTGCATGCAGTCACCAGTCTCTCTGTCATTTCATTCGGTGACCTCATTCTTTTCCCTTAGTCAGCAGAAATTCAGTTGTCTTGTAAAATAATTTCCTGCCATTTCTGTTGGCCGTTCCCCAGGTTGTGGAATCATTGTTATTATTTCCCTCTAGGTGCGATATTGCTCCTGAGTTCTAAGTTTAATATCCTAAACTGGTCCTTGCGCACTAGAGAGCACCAAATAATGTATTCAATCAGCTTAGCCCTTTTTTCTGGTTGCGAAACTTATTCAAGATTATGATTTTTCTCAAATTTATTCATCAAATAATTTCTAGGAATAATTGTTGGTCTGTAGATTGCTCACAAGCAGTTTCTTAAACGTGTCTGAAATTACATCTATTGTTGGTTAATTTTGATTGGATACACAGGTCACATGGTGTTGTTTCTGTACGCAGAATGGATAAGGGTAACTCTTAGGGTACGTCTACACTAAACCTATATTAGGTCAGTTTACAGCCACCACAGTAATTACTGTGATGATGCATGTCCACACAACCCGCCTTGGGTCGGTGGTGCGTGTCCTCACCAGGAGCGCTTCCACCGACTTAAGAGGGGTAGTGTGGGGACCTGAGAGCCTGGTCTCTTAGCTACGCTAGCAGTTCCCTCCCAGGAACGCTAAGTCACATTGGCTCAGCTGCCCCACAGACTCCCAGGTTCCTGGTGGTCTGCCCTTCCGCTCCCTGTTCCCGCTGGGAGTGCACTTCTTGACTCCTTGTTCCCCACCTGGAGCGGGGTCCATTCTCACCCTCGCTTCCAGCTGGGAGTGGGGTCCAGCCACCCAGCTCTCCAGGGAGCAGGGGGTAGCTGGGCTCTAGGTTCCAGCTTTCTTGTCAATTTCACAGATCTACTGGAGCTGTGAAATTGACAAGAGCGATAACAGCCAGTGTAAGTAACACAGTGTCTACACAAGCACTGGGTTTCCCTAACTACACTGACATAAGCCCTACGACCTCTTGTGGAGATGGAGTTATTATGTCGGTGTAGTAGGGAACTTACATCAGCAGGACAAGACTGTAATATGGACACTGACATAATTAAGTCAGTATAAGCTGCCTTATGTTGACCTAATTGTGGTGTGCAGACCAGGCATGTGAATCAGAGCAAATATTCAAGTTTATGTGTTCAAAAATTGCTTTTCACAAATATTTTCTAGCACTTGCTTAAAATTTGCTGTTTCCATTTACTTTCCAGCAAGTACATTGGTTTGCTAGAATATTTGTAGGCCTGCGGGGGCGGAGCCTGTGGGCAGCATGCAGATCCCCCTGCCCCCCCATGCCTAGGCGCCAGAGGGACATGCTGGTCGCTTCCTGGAAACCGCCTGAGGTAAGCGCCACCTGGAGCCTGCATCCCTAACCCCCTCCTGCATCCCAAACCCCTCATCCCTGGCCTCATCCCAGAGCCCCACCCCCAGCCGTATCCCTCACCCTCTCCCATCCCCAACCCCCTGCCCCACCCCGGAACTCCCTCCCACACTCCAAACCCCTCAGCCCCAGCCCCAAACGCAGAACCCCCTCCTGCACCCCAAACCCTTCATCCCTGGCCCAATGCCAGAGCCCACACCCCCAGCCACAGCCCTGACCCCCTCCTGCACCCCAACCCCTGCCCCAGCCCTGAGCCCCCTCCTACACTCCAAACCCCTCATTCCTAGCCCCACCCCAGATCCCACACCCCCAGCCAGAGCCCTCACTCCATCCCTCACTCTGAACCCCTCATCCCCAGCCTACAGCCTGCTCTTGCACCCCAAACCCCTTATCCCCGCCCTCACCCCAGAACCCACACCTGCCAGACAGAGCCCTCACCCCTTCCCATACCCCAACCCCCTGCCCAAGTCTGGAGCCCCTTCCAAAACTTTGAACCCCTCATTCCTGGCTCCACCCTGGAGCCCACACACACCCTTCACCCCCTCTGGCACCCCAAGCCCCTACCTCAGCATGGTGAAAGTGAGTAAGAATGGAGGAGAGTGAGTGACGGAGGGAGGAGGGATGGAGTGAGAGGGGGTGGGGCCTCAGGGAAGGGGCAGGGCCTCAGCGCAGGAGTGGGACAGGGGGCAGGGTAAGGGTGTTTGGTATTGTACGGTTAAAAAGTTGGCAACCCTACTCCTAAACCACTTTGGCCCAGATGCTCAGTGGAAGTTAGGTGCCTAAATACCATTAAAAACCTGGCTCTTAGGCTCTTTTGAAAATGCCAGGTACTGACCACAAAATGGGGCAAACACAACTCCTAGGCCACACAACAATGGTCCTGCCTGCCCCTTTCCCATCTAATTCAGAAAGCGGCAGGTGTGGGCAAAAAACAGAGTACTTGCACATTTAAAGAGGAGACATGCAATATGTTTTTCTTTTCTTTTTTTACAAGCACTTGCTTTTCACTTTCCGCAGGAATCCTCCTAGAAGCTGAACTTTAATGTCCAGTGTATCCTCTACTTAAAATTGAATTAAACACAATAATTCACTATTAATTTACTATGTACTGTACATCAATAAATGAATCCATTGACCAAT